TAGTGTACTACAGAACTTTCATTCATGAATATATAAAACCCAACATAGATCATTACATATTTCCATAATTTTGTACATTTATTTTCATACTTGTTCTGCTAACTGCTTCCTAGCTTGCTACATTGAAACTCCTTTGCCACTTTTCTTTTGGCTCACCAGCATCCTTCATTCATTCAGCAATTATTTATTTAGTGCCTACTGTGTACCAGGCACTGTCTTACTGCACAAGACAGATATGTTCCTGATCTCCTCGAGTTTATATTCTAATGGGAAGCATTTGATAAATAAAATAATTACACATTATAAGTATTATGGAGACAAACAGGGGCTAAGGTAGAAAATAAGGGAGGTTTTGTTTTGAGGGGATATGTATGTGAGGGAATAGTATTTCAGCAGAAACCTGAATGTTGGGAAGGAACCAGAGAGACAAAGATGGGAGGGGAAATGTAGTCAAAATAGAAAACAAAGTTTATGCAGAAATTCTATGTTGTGCAAGAGCTTGTTATGTTTGAGAAACAACACAAAGCTGTATAGCTAGGTCATCGTGAGCAAAGGAAAATGTGGCATGAAATGAATTTGAAGACACAGGAAGAGCTTAAACATGGAAGATCTTTCAAACCAGAGTGTTTGCAATTTAAATTAGTGGCTGGCATAGGACCCAGAAATCTGTGATTTTCATAGCTCCAGGATTCTGGCACTTATTTACCTATGGGACCCACTGGAATAAACCACCTCATCTGTTAAGGAAATGAAACAATTATTGTTGGGGTTCACATGAAGTTCACTAATGTGTACAGGACCCACTTATCTCCCAATCTCTTTATGTTCTTCCACATAGATAAACATTGTAAAATTGCAGAAAATACTGATTTATTTTCATTTCAAAGACATAACACAAGGTGATTTCCATTTTCTTCTGATTACAGAAAACTTGAATTACAGAAAATAAAAACTCCTTTATTAAAGTTTTAAAAATTATTCTCCGCTATGTTCATTTTAGACTAACTTTGAAGCCAAGGCTACTGTGGTGTTTGTCTATGTAACACACTGTTTTAGTTATGTGCTTTCGATGAACCATTCATTTTGAAGTACTGCACACCTTCCAGAAGTAGAAGAAATGGATTTCAAGTTTTCATTTGGATTCCTGAGGAAGTCTTGTACAATATAGTGTTGACGATCCATTTTCTCTTCTTGCCTACACACCCAAAGTGAGTGATATAACCCATTCCTAACTGATCAGCATTATTTTATCTTTCACCGTTCCTTGGTGTATATCCTAAACCTCCCCTACCATCAATCTATGCTCTGCCCCCACTTTCTACAAATTATGGCTTCCCCATTTTTAGGGTCTCCAGCACAATATTCCTTAACTGCAATATTTCATTTTCATTTCAGTAGACTCCTCCCACTCCTTTTCCAAATTTCCATCTCATGTTGATCTTTCTTTCTCTCCACTGAAACCAATAGCAATTGCATACTGCCTTATGTTGTAAATAATCTCTGGGGAAGTATATTTGTCTTCCCACTAGTTCCAAACTCGAGGACACAGATCTCATCTCGTACTTTCATATATTTCCACAGAGCCTAGGAGGTTACCTTGCACATTTTAGACAGTGAGTAAATACTTGTATGATTACTATATATACCTATAAACCTATACTGTCCAGTATAATGTTACCCCACAGGTTTTTCCCATGTCTAATTCACCTCAATTGTTATAAAATCCTATTATAAAGAGATTTGTGCTATATTATTTTCCACCTCTTGGGTTTTGTTTTTATTTGTTTTAAGATTTTATTTATTTATTTATTTGACAGAAACACAGCGAGAGAGGTAACACAAGCAGGGGGAGTAGGAGAGGGAGAATCAGGTTTTCCACAGAGCAGGGAGCCGGATGCGGGGCTGGATCCCAGGACCCTGGGATCATGACCTGAGCCGAAGGCAGATGCTCAACAACTGAGCCACCCAGGCGCCCCTTCAATTCTTTTTTTACCAGCAGAACACTTCATTTTCCCTCCCCCAAAGGACATTTCACATGATATCCTGATATCTGAACACACAGAGGAGTCAGTCTGATTAAGAAAGGACTAGTAAACCTGAAGCCTGGACTACTAGGCCTCCTCCTCCCTTTGAAGCCCTCCTACAGCAGTCCCTGAAATCCTCCTACTCCTCCACCATCTTGCTCCTCCCCCCATCCCTGAAACCCTGAGGAGGGATTCCATGGACAGTCTGAGAACATAATTATCTAGGGGAATCCACAAAGCCAAAGTAAAGGTAAATGAACAAACAACTGCCGGAGTTAATACAGAGACAGAGTTAGAATTTTTTAGCTAGCTACAATCCTAGCAAGGCACAGCTACAATTTCCTATTGCAATTTAAAAGAACTAAATCACTAAATTGATGGTATATATTAGTAAAATTAAGGCATGTACTCAAATACAAAACATCCTCTAACTCAAAATCTATGTTATTTTTTTTTATTTTTAAAAATATAAAGTAATACGTTATTGTAGAAATTTTGGAAAATTTAAACTTTTAAAAAGTTACTGCAATTTACTATTTCATTTATTTTCAATATCCTGCTATAAAGCAGATAGTATCACTGTTTTTAAGATGAGGAAATCCAAAAACCAGCAGAGTAAAAAAATAATACTCTAGAGTAAGTTCTAAGTGCTCTGTATACATACATAAATATAAAATTTGGATTGAAAATTAGTATAATGAGAATCAGAGACTAGAAAAATCCCTTCAAACAGGAATTTCAGGGAAAGCCCCACTGAAACAACAAGATCAGAACTGATTTTGAGGATTGAGTAGAACTTGGGTTGGAAAGTCAGAAAGAAAGGAGGAGGGCAGGCCAGGAAGAGAGAAGTGCACAAATAACATCAGGAGGGTCTAAAAAGGCGAGAATTGTATTGATTGCTAGCAGTACTGAAAACTAGAATCCAAGCAAGAGAAAACTCTATTCAGAAAGGAAGCAAAAATTAGGTGACAAAAATTATCTTGATCAAACAGTTGATATAAAGTAAAAGCCATCTCTTTCCACTGCCACATGACTGAAACTCCTCATGAAGTGAGTTATCCTGGCTAAGCTTAGAAATAATTCATCCTAACTTTTGAAAATTAGGAACAAAGATAAATTTCCATTAGAAAGACCACATTCTTTATTCTCAGATACAAGTCTTACAATGTTTCGGTTACAACTGACAGTTTATTTAGTCATTTCAAACAATTTTTTGAACAAGATAATTTTTAAGACCCTTGATAGAATACAACTTCTAATTTTAGAATTTCATGTTAACTGTCAGTTTTAATTTGTCCTCCCCCACGCCAAAGAAAGAATGCTAGTAAGTAGTTAAACCACAACATTTCTCTTATACTTTATTCACGTCTCCCTTCTTTTAATAGCTAAAAAAAGTGATGACTAGAATTTGGATTATCAGCCATAAGTAAGAATGGGACTGCTTTCACTTTGTGGACCCCATATCACAACTTTCCACTCCAAAAGTATTCTGAAATACTGTGCTTTCAATCTTCAAGGGCAGGATCCCCACTTCATTGTCAAGAAATAAGTATTTGAATAGCATGATGACTGCTATGTTAGTCGTACCGACCATAGGATATCACAAATTATGTATTGTCTTATTTCTTCTTTACCTGTTTCTCAGGCCTGTTCCATTGCCACAGCCCCCACCAACCAAAGTCTGTAAAGACGGTAAAGCTGAACGGCTTAGCTGCTGCCGACTAGGGCCCCTCCTTCCACCGGGCATGTCCGGGAACCAGTCTGCTTCCAGTGCCACCTGTAGTTGCAACCCAGGTTAATGGCTGTCAACCTGTTTCAACTCTGAACAAAAGAAAAGACATTTAAATATCAGTTTACTATTTCTAAATTAGGCAATGTAACAAAACAACAGAAAAACTGAATGAGTAGGCCTCGTAAAACCAGATTTTCAAATAAATGCTCCCCCAGTGTCTATTACCTACTTTATTCTAAGGAAAAGCCTAGTCAGACTCTAATGGGTTAGAAGCCTAAGTTTTGATCTAAGCTTTGTTCAGCGTTAGATAAGTCACAATTTGTGTCTTTTGTCAGTCGACTTGTGTCATATGAATGATATTTCAATCAGGTAGAAGTTAACAAGAAATGCCTAACATATGCATTTCCAACTCATATGTAATATTTCACAGTAAACCACTGGAAATACAGGAGAATCAGCACTGTCCAAAATGTTAGGTTTTGTTATCAAGGGATCTGGGCTCTGAGATTACATGTGCCACATATTATCTGACTGTAACTGAGGCATTTAACCTCTGAGTTTGTTTCTTCAAAAGTATTCCTTGTCCTATAGAGGTTGTTGTGAGGACTGACAAGATGGACGAAAATACACCAGTTGGCCTGTAACTCTTTTAAAAGTAAAACTGTTCAAGTGGTAACTCCATATATTAGAGTGAAAATATCAGAAGGAGCTATAATGGATGCCCACTACAGAAAAACTGGTATGAAATCATTTAGAAATTACTGAAACTGCGGGATTTTTTAAAAGACAAGTAACAGATGAAGACCCTCGCCGAAAAGAGGGTCCGCCCATATGTACGCCAAAACCTGCTTCCTAAACAAAACTTAAAGACTGAAAAATGGCATCCGGGAAAAACCCTGGTTTTCAAATGTTACTGCAGAATGATCCGATGTTCCCTATTCCTAGCAGCCTTTGGCTGTAGACTAAAAAAACGCCAGGTGACACCAAACATTCAAACCGTCGGATGTAGGGCCTGCTGGTTCTTGCTCCATTAACGAGGGAAATAAAAGTGTGGAGCAAAAAATTGGGATAGAAGAGGCGAGAGGATGAGGTGGGGAAGGCGGATGACAAGAGACCACAAACTTCAACAGGCTGGCCCCTACAAGGGAAAAACGACAAAGCGGTTCCCGCGGCGCAACCCGAAGACCTGAAGCAGGCTGGGACAATCACACAGCGAGGAGGCTCGATAATACTCACGCATGGAGGAGGCCCAGCCGGGGGGGCGGGATCCCTAGGAGAAGGTGGCGGCTTTACAGGCTAGACCCCAGGCAAGAGAATTCCCTCCCTGTGTTGAAGCGCTCCAAACCAGTTGGTTGTCTGCAGGCCGTCCCCGCCCGGAAAGTCGAGAAAAGGTGTCCAGGCTTCGGGCTGCCAGCCCCCGCCCCAGCCCCAGGTCAGTACCAGAGTCAGAGCCAGAGCTAAAGTTAAGGGCAGAGCCCGGCCGGGTCAGCACTCATCCGCAGCCTCCATTACCGCGGAGCTGAGGAGACGTGGCAGCGCACGGAGATGACGTCAGTTCCGCGACTGCCGGCCGCTCCAGCCTCAAGCTGGCGTCCGGAACTACACACTCGGTTTGGGAGCGGGCTCCCCACCGCTCCCTCATGCACCTGCGCAGTGGGACTCCTTCTCTGTTGGCTCATGGTCCCGCCTTCCCCGCCAGCGCTGGCCAACGTATTTCCTCCTTGGTCGTCTAAGATGCCCTGGCACCATGCTGGCGATTCTTTGCTATCTCATGGACTCCCCTTAACAACCACATACAAATTATCGCCCCAGTTTTGCAGATAGGGGAGGTTGGGAGACGTCGCCTACGGTCACGTCACTGCCAGGTAAAGGAGTTCAAGTCGTGATGTCATGCTTCAGCATCCAGTCGTGCGCCTATTACATGTAAAGGACTGGATGGATGCTGGAGTTAAACAAGTGAATACCACAGGTTGTTCAGTCTATTGAAAGAGACGAGACACCAGGAAAACACAGTAATTACAATATAGTAAATGCAACAAAAGTATGCCTAAGGTCCAGAGGTTAGCATGCAATTCATTGTAATTTATTCAGTGTAATAAATTCTGTGGGATAGTGGTGGTGGCAATACCAAGAAAGACTTGTGAGCCTGGAGTTTAAAGCCAAGACTCCAAGAATGATTAGGCTGTTCGTGGGAGAATGGCTTTCTAGTGAAGGAAGTGGCAGATAAAAAGGTAAAATGGTGGGAAACATCATAATGAATTCAGAAACTGCCAATAGTTTAGTATTAGAAGAAGAGTAAAAGTGTCAAGAAGAGCATGTGTTTGAGATCTCTGGCTCCAGAGATTTTAAACACCTTGAGAGAATGCCCTTTGTATGTAGTATCACACAGTTATAGATTAGTTAACCTTTATGAGAGTTATTGCCCTGTACGCAAGTTATTGCCATGTATGACACTAGACTAGTACCTTTACACATTTCATTTACATCTTATATTGCTTTGATATACTATCATTGTTCCTATTTTACAGAGGAAACAAGTTTTTTTTAATAGAAATCTGAGCTTTTTTTTTTAAAGATTTTATTTGTTTATTTGAGAGGGAGAGAATGAGAGACAGAGAACGTGAGAGGGAAGAGGGTCAGAGGGAGAAGCAGACTCCCTGCTGAGCAGGGAGCCTGATGCGGGACTCGATCCTGGAACTCCAGGATCATGACCTGAGCCGCAGACAGTCGCTTAACTGACTGAGCCACCCAGGCGCCCCAGAGGAAACAAGTTTTAAGAGAAGCTAAGTAACTTGCTGAAAATAACCCAACTAATAAGTGGCAGAGCCAGATTTTGGAGCAGAATGACCAATATCAAAACTACTAAAGTTAGTAATATTCCAAATATTCTTAGTACCTTAGTGTACTACAGAACTTTCATTCATGAATATATAAAACCCAACATAGATCATTACATATTTCCATAATTTTGTACATTTATTTTCATACTTGTTCTGCTAACTGCTTCCTAGCTTGCTACATTGAAACTCCTTTGCCACTTTTCTTTTGGCTCACCAGCATCCTTCATTCATTCAGCAATTATTTATTTAGTGCCTACTGTGTACCAGGCACTGTCTTACTGCACAAGACAGATATGTTCCTGATCTCCTCGAGTTTATATTCTAATGGGAAGCATTTGATAAATAAAATAATTACACATTATAAGTATTATGGAGACAAACAGGGGCTAAGGTAGAAAATAAGGGAGGTTTTGTTTTGAGGGGATATGTATGTGAGGGAATAGTATTTCAGCAGAAACCTGAATGTTGGGAAGGAACCAGAGAGACAAAGATGGGAGGGGAAATGTAGTCAAAATAGAAAACAAAGTTTATGCAGAAATTCTATGTTGTGCAAGAGCTTGTTATGTTTGAGAAACAACACAAAGCTGTATAGCTAGGTCATCGTGAGCAAAGGAAAATGTGGCATGAAATGAATTTGAAGACACAGGAAGAGCTTAAACATGGAAGATCTTTCAAACCAGAGTGTTTGCAATTTAAATTAGTGGCTGGCATAGGACCCAGAAATCTGTGATTTTCATAGCTCCAGGATTCTGGCACTTATTTACCTATGGGACCCACTGGAATAAACCACCTCATCTGTTAAGGAAATGAAACAATTATTGTTGGGGTTCACATGAAGTTCACTAATGTGTACAGGACCCACTTATCTCCCAATCTCTTTATGTTCTTCCACATAGATAAACATTGTAAAATTGCAGAAAATACTGATTTATTTTCATTTCAAAGACATAACACAAGGTGATTTCCATTTTCTTCTGATTACAGAAAACTTGAATTACAGAAAATAAAAACTCCTTTATTAAAGTTTTAAAAATTATTCTCCGCTATGTTCATTTTAGACTAACTTTGAAGCCAAGGCTACTGTGGTGTTTGTCTATGTAACACACTGTTTTAGTTATGTGCTTTCGATGAACCATTCATTTTGAAGTACTGCACACCTTCCAGAAGTAGAAGAAATGGATTTCAAGTTTTCATTTGGATTCCTGAGGAAGTCTTGTACAATATAGTGTTGACGATCCATTTTCTCTTCTTGCCTACACACCCAAAGTGAGTGATATAACCCATTCCTAACTGATCAGCATTATTTTATCTTTCACCGTTCCTTGGTGTATATCCTAAACCTCCCCTACCATCAATCTATGCTCTGCCCCCACTTTCTACAAATTATGGCTTCCCCATTTTTAGGGTCTCCAGCACAATATTCCTTAACTGCAATATTTCATTTTCATTTCAGTAGACTCCTCCCACTCCTTTTCCAAATTTCCATCTCATGTTGATCTTTCTTTCTCTCCACTGAAACCAATAGCAATTGCATACTGCCTTATGTTGTAAATAATCTCTGGGGAAGTATATTTGTCTTCCCACTAGTTCCAAACTCGAGGACACAGATCTCATCTCGTACTTTCATATATTTCCACAGAGCCTAGGAGGTTACCTTGCACATTTTAGACAGTGAGTAAATACTTGTATGATTACTATATATACCTATAAACCTATACTGTCCAGTATAATGTTACCCCACAGGTTTTTCCCATGTCTAATTCACCTCAATTGTTATAAAATCCTATTATAAAGAGATTTGTGCTATATTATTTTCCACCTCTTGGGTTTTGTTTTTATTTGTTTTAAGATTTTATTTATTTATTTATTTGACAGAAACACAGCGAGAGAGGTAACACAAGCAGGGGGAGTAGGAGAGGGAGAATCAGGCTTTCCACAGAGCAGGGAGCCGGATGCGGGGCTGGATCCCAGGACCCTGGGATCATGACCTGAGCCGAAGGCAGACGCTTAACCGACTGAGCCACCCAGGCGCCCCACACCTCTTGGGTTCTTACAGTGCTGCATATATTCAGGTACTCACCAAATCTGTACTATTTAATAAGAAGCAGTCTGATGTGCAAACAACTTCTAGCCTACGTTGTTCCAACTGTGGGCAAAAAACATCCTCTCTGATCTTCAGTTTTCTGGCCGCAGAGTTTAAGGTGTTTTAAATATGCTACCAAGTGTAAGGAATTACCATTATCAGACATATTTTCCCAGGGGATGCCTTTTATTCATTCTCTCCTGGGCTTCAATTTTCTGAGAGACAGAGACAGGGAGATGCATTTTGAACCTTTCACTACACCTGGCGACATGAAGGAGCTAACTCTACAGTCTGGTTCCAAACCAACGAGCGAGATTCGCCACGCGCTGCGGGCCCGACACTCGGCTGACAGCCCGGCACCGGTCGCCGGGAGAAACTCGGCCGCCTGCCGGCGCTTGGGGGCGGTGGGGGAGGCGGAGTGGCGCGCGGCCATCTCTATGCGGGGCGGCCCTCCGCCCACGTGGTGCGGAGCCCACGGCCATCTTTGTGCGGGGCGGCGCTTCCGCCGGCGCGGCAGCGGGGACTCCGCAGTGGGTTGCGGGCGATGGAGCGGTGGGTGAGCCCGCAGCTCCGGCTGTGGCTGCTGTTGCTATTACTGCCCCCAGTGCCGGGCCGCCAGAAGGAGTCAGGTGGGCTCCGGGCAGGGCAGAGCCTGCCGCTGGGGCTCCGGGTCGGGTCCGGTCCGCAGGCGCTCTCCCGCCCCCGTTGGTTTCCCGGTGCGGCGGGCGGCCAACTGATGCTGTGGCCGCTGGAGCGCAAAGCTGGGCAGAGGGCACGGGGGAGCCTTGGAGCGGAGAGTGAGAGCGTCTGGTTGCCTGGCGCTGCTTTTACTGCCCAGGACCCTGGAGAGTAATCCGACTTTCAGGATTGGGATAGTGGGGAAGAGAGGGAATTGTGTTCACCCACAGCGGGTGTCGCCTGCGCTTGGTTGCACTGCTCCTCCCTAAAACACTGGGGGATGATTCGTGTGCGTGCGTGTGTGTGGTTCTTAATGAATTGCCAGAGAGATGAAGGGAGAATTAAAGTTTGTGGCTTTTAACTGATCCTCTTTATAGGGTTCACTTTGATTAGTAAAAGGTGAGAATATGTGTCACCAGTTTATTCATAGCTTTCTGAGTGCCAGGCTTGGACATTTTCCAATTTCTCGGACACCTGACAGCCCGAGTAGAGGAGCAGACTTGACATGAGTGCTGGAGAGTTACAGAATGACTCCTTCCTGGCATTTTGTTTCCACCAGTGGAATGGGAAGGGGTGTCTAAAAGTTTTGGCCTTCTGTTGGTTCTGCATGCTTGCTGCTAGCAAATGAGAATGCCCAGGGTATTTTGTTAACTCTCATTTACTTCTTGAAGGTTCAAAATGGAAAGTATTTATTGACCAAATTAACAGGTCTTTGGAGAATTATGAACCATGTTCAAGTCAAAATTGCAGCTGCTACCATGGGTGAGTTCTTTTCTTTGATGTGTCTTTGAGAGTTTAGTGCTTGTCACAAAAAGTCCCCTAAAATCCCCAAGAGACCTGGGTTACAGTGATCAGAGGGCCAAGCATGCCTTGATAAAAGACAAGGTTCCTGCAGTAGGTTTTCTCTTTCTAGGGAACAAAAATCTACTAGGATAGGAGAGGCCCAGGTGGTCTCAGCAAGTCTACTTACTCCTTGGAGTTAGCTACACATACTTATCTGTGTTCCCCACTGGACTGAAAGCTTCTTGAGGTCAAGGCCTATGTCTTAATCAGTGTTGCATCCCTGGTGCTGGCCGTCAGTAAGTACTCAGTAAATATTGTCGGGGGAATGAACATATTTATAAATGAACCTAATCATAATTTCTTGTTGGTTATTTTTAAAGTTGCGAATTATGGCTGAGAGGGTAGTGTGGTAGAAAGGTTACTTTGAAAGCAGCCGTGGGTTCTAGGATCTGCAGAACTCCCACTAATTATCGCTATGGCAAGTCACTTAACTTCTCTGGGTCTCAGATTCCTCATCAGCTAAATAACAGGGTCCTTTAGTTCCTCATTGTGTTATTCTATGACTCCTCAAAAAATTCACCTAATGCTTATGGTACTTGTTGAAAACTATATACTGAACTTTAAAAGGGATACAAAATAGTGTAATTTCTGGTTACTGCTGTCAGGCTGTGAGAATATGTGAGGTGAGTGGGGGCCAGACAGACCAGAACAAGGGAGTCAGTCTGAGACCAAGGACATCAGACAGTGTCAGACTCTAAGGCATAGATCATACCTGCTGTGGGAATCAGAGAAGGGGAAGTCAGTGGGAGGACATGGGTGTTGTGTATCAAAGGAGGAATGTGCATCAAGCAGAGGAGGGGCAATCCAGATGGAGAGAGGAAGAAGAGAAATTGACTTGCTTTTTCCTCTTTGTGGCTTTGTCGTTTGGGTTTAGATTACCTGTGTGCTTCTGGGGGAAACTCATTTCTGCCCTTTATTCTTTCCCTGGTTTACTGTGTCTTCTAATACTAAATCTAAACCCACAGATAGGAAGTAGGTGGAATGGTACCACTTTCTTGACCTGCTTTCCTTGACGATTCACATTCTTTCCCAGGGTCATAGAAGAGGATCTCACTCCTTTCCGAGGAGGCATCTCCAGGAAGATGATGGCGGAGGTAGTCAGACGGAAACTAGGGACCCACTATCAGATCATTAAGAACAGATTATACCGAGAGAATGACTGCATGTTCCCTTCAAGGTAAGAATTATGAGGTAGATATATCTTCTGATCTTCTTATATATGGGCTTACTTGATACTGTTCTTTTTAATTAAAGGGACCCACAGGTGAATCTCTCCTCACATTTCAGAGGGGCTAGAAAATAGTGACAAGCTCTTCTTACCTCGGGATTTTTCTTGCCAACTCCTGCCCCCCTTTCTCCTATATTAAAGTCTGTCTCCTCTCTCTTCTTGAGGCTTGGGCACATCACTGGTTGTACTGGCTATGGCTCTGCCCTCATCTTTCCCCAGATATAGAAGCTGCAGGGCACAAGCTGATTGAGACCTGGTAGGAGTGAGCTGGGCTCAAGGAGGAGAAGCATTGAGTGTTTATCATGGGTCAAGTATTGTTCTAGATACTGAATATTTGAAGAAGGGTGGCTGAAAGACAAGAGTAACTGGGGCTGCAGATTACGCAGGCTACACTAGCCAGGAATTCAGATGTGAAAGTTGAGGTAACATATCAGTGGGCTGAGGGCTCGGGGTGATTAGGGAGGGTCATGGACTGAGCCTGGAAGTTGGGTTTAGGTAGCATTATATATTTATACAACAAATGAGAAACTTCCCTTTTAGGAGTCTTTTTTTTTTTAAATTCAAATCTTTATAAAATTATGAAGTACAAAATTCAGAGGCCATGGTATTCCCCTGCCTAAGATATTCTTTCTAAACAATCTCTATTCTGTCATTAAAAGTAAAGTAATTGAGGGACACCTGGGTGGCTCAGTCAGTTAACTGCCTTCAGCTCAGGTCATGATCCCAGGGTCCTGGCCTCGAGCCCTGGGTCAGGCTTCCCCCCTCAGTGGGGAGTCTGCTTCTTCCTCTCCCTCTCCCCCCTCCTGCTTGTGCTCCATCTCTCTCAAATAAAATCTTAAAAAAAAAAGTAAATGAGCAGTATTGCAAGTAACATCCATCCATATGGACATAAGGAATTTTTCTTAATAACAACTTTATTACAAGTTAGTACATTTTCATTGTCAAAAAAATATAAAAACAACAACAACAAAAAAAATAAAGATCACTTAATATCCTACTACCTTGAAGTAATCACAATTACATTTTTGTTATCAAGTGTCAGGGGCAAATAAGGTGGTAGTGAGCAAAATTATTGAGGTATTTTATTTTTATTTTTTAAGATTTTATTTATTTGAGAATGAGAGAGCACGTGAGCATGAGTGTGGGGAGAGGCAGAGGGAGAGGGAGAAGCAGACTTCCTGCTGAGCAGGGAGTCCTGTCGAGGGGCTTGATCCCAGTACCCTGAGATCATGACCTGAGCCAAAGGCAGACGCTTAACCAACTGAGCCACCTAGGCGCCCCTATTGAGGTATTTTAAACAGACATTTGTTTCATTATTTGGGATAATAATAGAAACTTTATAGATTATGAGTGTAGAGGAATTTCTAATTTCTACAAATGAAAAAGAAAATAGGAGTATAGACATTGTTAGACTTTGATAGCTTACCTAATGTTTAATAGTTAGCCAAACAATTTCCAGATGAAATCAAATACTTTTCAAAGTTTCTGAAAGGCACATACCTCTCATTCCAGACCTCATAACATTTTGGTCAGAATCATGAGCTCTTAGAAATGTTCTTAAGGAAGCACAGGACCTTTCATTGACAATAAAATAGTCTGTGTCTCTAATGCATGGAAAGTTCCCTATCTCAACTATATACACAACTAAGGAAACAGAGTTGAGCAAAAAAGAAGCAAAATGAAATATTCAGAACCAGTGTCCTTAATGAAATGGATACAGTTGAATAATATCTCAGATTCCCATCTAGCCAAAACAGTATCTTTCTAGGTCTAGATACTTTTAATTCATCCAGTGGGAGAAGCCTGTATGGCATTTAGAAAATTTTATTCTGAACAAAGTAAAATGTAAATTCAGCAGTTCAAGAATGAGCTGAGAGATTTTGCTGAGGAACCAGAGCACCATCTAATTAAATGACTGGAGACATGTCATTTCAGAGATGGAGAATAATGGTATTTTTAAAATAATAACTTTAGTGAGGTATGGCTGACATAAACTGCACATACTTAAAGTATACAACTTGGTAAGTTTCTTGATGTTCATTATCTTTTTAAAATTGATTTATTCTTAATTGAAGTATAGTTAATATACAATATTATATTAGTTTCAAGTGTACAACATAGTGATTCAGCATGTATATGCATTACAAAATGCTCACCCTGATACGTGCAGTTACCACCTGTCACCATACAAAGTGATCATAGCATTATTGAGTATATTCCCTATGACTTCTTTTTATTGAAGCGTCGTGACACACAACATTAAACTTAGTTTCAGGTGTACAACATAGTAATTCTGGACAACTCTGTATACTTTGCTGTGCTCACCACAAGTGTAGTTACTGTCTTTAACCGTACGACACGATTATAGTACCATTGACTGTATTCCCTATGCTGTCCTTTTTATCCTCATGGCTTATTCATTCCATAATTGGAAGCCCGTATCTCCCATTCTCCTTCATCCATTTTGCCCCATCCTCTCACCCCCTTTCGCTTTGGCAACCATCAGTTTGTTCTCTGTATTTATGGGTCTGTTTCTGCATTTTGTTTATTTGTTTGTTTTGTTTTCTAGGTTCCACATATAAGTGAAATCATATGGATTTATTTATTTATTAAGTCTTTTTGGTGCATGGTATTTGTCTTTCTCTGTCTGACTTATTTCACTTAGCATAATACCCTCTGGGTCCATCCATGTTGTCACAAATGCCAAGATCTCATTCTTTCTTATGGCTGATTAATATTCTATTATATTATCTAATAATAATATCTATATGGTATATTATATTATATATATATATACATTTTTATCCATTTATCTGTTGATGGACACTTAGGTTGCTTCCATATGTGGACTATTGTAAATAATGCTGCAGTAAACATAGGGGTGTATATATCTTTTCAAATTAGTATTTTTGTTTTCTTTGGATAAATACCCCCTAAAAGCAGAATTACCAAATCATAAGGTATTTCTATTTTTAATTTTTTTGAGGTACCTCCATACTGTTTTCCACAGTGGCTGCACCAATTTGCATTCCCAGCAATAGTGCACGAGGGTTCTCTTCTCTTCACATCCTTGCCAACATTTGTTATTTCTTGTCTTTTTCATAATAGCCATTCTGACCGGTGTGAGGTGATGATGTCTCATTATGGTTTTGATTTGCATTTCCCTGATGATTAGTGATGCTGAATATCTTTTCACGTGTCTGTTGGCCATCTGTACATCTTCTTGGAATATGTTTATTCATGTCCTCTACCAGATATATCATTTGCAAATATCTTCTTCCATTTAGTATGTTGTCTTTTTGTTTTGTTGTTTCCTTCACTGTACAAAAACTTTTTAGTTTGATGTAGTCTCAATTGTTTATTTTTGCTTTTGTTGCCCTTGCCTGAAGAGACAGCTCTAAAAAGATATTGCTAAGACTAACATCCAAGAGTTTACTGCCTGTTTTCTTTTAGGAGTTTTATGGTTTCAAGCCTTGTACTTAGGTCTTTAATCCATTTTGAGTTTGTTTTTGTATATGGTATAAGAAAGTGGTCCAGTCTCATTCTTTTGCACGTAGCTGTCCAGGTTTCCCAACACCATTTATTGAAGAAGGTATTTTTTCTCCATTGTATACTCTTGCCTCCTCTATCATAGATTAATTGACCATACAATTGTGGGTTTATTTCTGGACTCTCTATTCTGTTCTAGTGATCTATGTGTCCATTTTTGTGCCAATGCCATACATTTTGATTATTATTGCTTTGTAGTATAGTTCAAAACCTGGAATTATGATACCTCCAGCTATGTTCTTCTTTCTCAAGATTGCTCTGGCTATCCAGAGTCGTTTGTGGTTCCATACAAATTTTAGGATTATTTGTGCTAGTTCTGTGGAAAATGCTATTGGTGTTTTGATAGAAGCATTGAATGCATAGATTGCTTTCGGGAGCATGGACATTTTATCAGTATTAATTCTGCCAATCCATGAGTATGGTATGTCTTTCCATTTATTTGTATCACCTTAAATTTCTTCCATCAAGTACAGTTTTCAAAGTACAGGTCTTCTACCTCATTGGTTAAATTTATTACTAGGTATTTTGTTCACTATACTGTGCATGAGATCTCTAGGGCTTCTTTACTACTTATAAGTTTGTACCTTTAAACACCATCTATCCTGTCCCCCCATCCCCGTACCCTCTGGCAACCACCATTTTTTCTCTCTTTTTACAAGTTTGACTTTTGGGGCGTTTCTTTAATATGGTTGAGCATCTTTTCTTTTATTTATGAATCACTGATATTTTTTACAGTAACCTCCCTATATATAAGTCAGTATTTTAAATCAGTCATTTCTATGCTGCTGGAAAATTTTGGTTGAACCCTGGAATGCTGCCCCCAGGATAGTGCTGGTCAGGACCTCAAAGAATGGGGCAGAAGAGCTAAGCTGTCAGGGTATCCTCTCTTTCCAGAAGTCCTCTGAGGATACCTGGAGAGGCTAAGCAGAAAGCTATACAGGCCTACCTTGTTCTATTGTTGCCTCGCTTTTATTGCATTTTGCAGACACTGCATTTCTTCTTTTTTTTTTTTTTTTTAACAAATTGAAGGTTTGTGGCAACCCTGCGTCAAACAAGTCTATTGGTGCCATTTTTCTAACAGCATTTGTTTACTTCATGTCTCTGTATCACATTTTGGTGATTCTTTCAATATTTCAAATTTTAGTATTATTACTATATTTGTTATGGTGATCTGTGATCAGTGATTACAGCTCACTGAAAGCTCAGATGATTGTTAGCATTATTTATTTATTTATTTAAGATTTTATTTTATTCATTTGACAGAGAGAGAGACAGCGAGAAAGGGAACACAAGCAGGGAGAGTGGGAGAGGGAGAAGGAGGCTTCGCACTGAGCAGGAATCCTGATGCGGGGCTCGATCCCAGGACCCTGAGATCATGACCTGAGCCGAAGGCAGACACTTAACGACTGAGCCACCCAGGCACCCCTTGTTAGCATTTTTTAGCAATAAAGTGTCTTTAATTAAGATATACACGTTGTTGGGGCGCCTGGGTGGCTCAGTTGTTAAGCGTCTGCCTTCGGCTCAGGTCATGATCCCAGGGTCCTGGGATCGAGCCCTGCATCAGGCTCCCTGCTCTGCGGGAAGCCTGCTTCTCCCTCTCCCACTTCCCCTGCTTGTGTTCCCTCTCTCACTGTGTCTCTCTCTGTCAAATAAATAAATAAAACCTTTAAAAAAAAAAAAGATATACACGTTGTTTTTTTTAGACATAATACTATTATTGAATACTTAATAGACCCCAGTATAGTATAAACATAATTGTGTACATAACACTCCTTTTCTGGCTTGCAAAACTGATTTTGATAGTGTTCTGTACTCAAGTTGAAGGCAATAAAAGTTTTCCTATCTTTCTTCCTAAATTATGAGACTTAATTTTGGTGGAAATAAAAAAAAATCTTTGTGAGAAGCAAAGCCCAAGGGACACAATTAGAAAATCAGCTTTCTCCAGTTCTTATCAAAATTTGTATCTTGCTTACTAGTTAAACAAAAGGGGAAATTAAAAAAAAACTAGGAATAGATAGAGAAGAGGTGGTAGGAGTAGCAATAATACATCCTCCAAACTTATGACCTAGTTGGAAAATTTCATTAAGTATTGCAAGCTGGAGGAGGTTAGCTAGGAAAGATAACTTGCACAATATAAAAGAATAAGAAAGTCTTTTTAGAATCATTGCTTTCAGGAAACTTTGCAGTAGGCTGATGATCTGAACACTGGCTTTCAAAGTGGGAATGGGACCCTGTTTTGTCCTATGGCAGACACTAGTCTGGTGAATTTGTGGTATTTCTGGTTGGCAGGTGTAGTGGTGTTGAACACTTCATTTTGGAAGTTATCGGGCGGCTTCCAGACATGGAAATGGTGATCAATGTACGAGATTATCCTCAGGTTCCTAAGTGGATGGAGCCGGCCATTCCAGTCTTCTCCTTCAGTAAGGTAAGTGTGGGAAGAACTGTATGGGGAGACGGAGGGTGGTCCTCTAGAGTATGAGTAGGAGATGATTGTCCTGTGACAGAGTCTGATGGGTAATGGTGAGGATGAGACCTGGGTTCCAGGAATTGGTTTGTGTCCCTCTTAGCTTCACAGTGGCTGAGCAATAAGACTGAGGAGATGAGTAATGTGAGTAAGATTGCTTAAGTGTCTATAGGGCTAGGGATGAAGGGTCGGGAATGATGGAGGCCTGAAGAGCCACTGAAGGCAAGGTTCAGAGATCCTACGGAGCATGGGAGAAAGTGGCTCAAGATAGCTCATGGGCTTGGAGTTAGGAAACACCTTTGTTCAAAAAATATTTGTTGAGCTCCTATATATATAGTTCTATCTGTCCTGGCAGTCTATCCTAGGAGCTCAGCATAGCTAACAGTGAAACTGAAGGTGGTAGATAACTCCACACAGTTTGTGCCTAAACAGTGCGTTGAGGGGATAGGCCTGGGATATCCAAGAGGGACATGTGAGAGAGTGATCTTTGGGGCTAGTTATGGAGGAATAGGAGTACTAGCTCACACCTGTGGACTTGGAGAACTTGGGACAGTTAATATCTTCTCAGTGCTCAGGTTCTTGCAAATATTTATTGGCAGGGATGGGCCTTAGTTCCCTAGAGATTAGGCATGAACACATTTAGGGGGAGGCCTTGAAGAGAATAGATAGAAGATTCAATGGGGGAAGAGTGAGTTTAGGAAAACCCTATGGACTTTGAGAAAAGGAACACCATCTCTGATTTGGTTTCTTCAAAGAGGGACCTTTTATCCATACTTTTTCTTTATCACAGTTTACTTTCTCTCTAGACTTATTTCCTGTGTTGCAAGTGGGCTGAGGCCACATTGGTGTTGTGTTTCCCATGGTTTAGCCTCATTTATCAAAAGTGCTTGGTCTCGCTGTTTATCCTAAAACCCTCCCAGAAGAACAGATAGAGGCTCCCATGTACGTCAGTAGGGACTTTATGTTTGTTATTTATTTGTTGTTTTGGTGGATGGTAAAGTATGACCATCAGTATACTTTCTTTTCATCTTTTCTTTTCTTTCTTTTTTTAAAACCAGTGACTCCTAGTCCCTAGAGAGGGATTTTAGTCTTTCATCTTTATAGGAATTGTTCAGCTTCTCTTGAGCAGCAGTTATGCCTGAGCTGCTTGAAATATAATACATACCATTTTTTAAAAGTATTTGAGAAAAGGTGAACAGCATATTGCATGTGTAATTCCAGTGAAGAAACCAAAGAGTTAGAGGTCTGTCAGTGGCCAGAATTTTAATAGAAGTAACCATAAAAAGGGGAACAAAT